TTTAATAATTATAATTATACATTTTGAACATTTTTAAATATAAGACGCCTAATTTTTCTTTTTCACTAATAAACAATAATAAAAGTCTCCCTCCCATTTTTTCGCTCTTTATTAACGACATTTCCTAATGGTTTAATACCCAATTTGGTCCCTAAACTTTCATTTTGAAACTTAGTTCATCCTTTAACTTCAGAAGGGACCCAAACCATCCTTAAACTTTATTTTTTTAGAACCCAAATGGTCCTTCCGTCATAGAAGTGCCCAGCTGGCCCGTTAACTCGCCACGAATTAATACGTTTATTGTAGAAAAATTACGTGAAAAAAAATGATGATTTTATAATTTCAATTTCTCAAAATACAGCATCAATGCCGGTGGCCAAAATCCCCTTAGCCATCTCCATCAATTGAGAGAAAACCATGGCGGTAGAGATCGGCAAGCTGAGCGCAATCAGGATCATCATCCCTAACGTGACACTGGAGCGAGTGTTCATCAATTGCGACTACAACACTCCCATGATCTCACAAATCATCGAATCGTAGCTCGTATAGACACGTTTCTCCCAATCCATCCAGTCCACAGGCAGCTCGTAGTTCCTCTCGATCATCTTCATCTGATGAATCCTCTTCCGAAGAACGATCATGCTTTCATCAACAATCTGTCTGCTCAAGTCTCGGCCGCGCGTCTCTTTCTTCGCCGCGAATATCTTCGTTAAGATTGTTTAAAGCTGAATCCGACATCCGCATAAAATAATTACATAAATGAATTCTAGAATCGTTTGGTTTTATAAGTTGGGGATTCAACCAAATCAGGAGAATAACTCCTTTGCAAGCTGCTATACTCATTGCAAAGGGACAAAAAAAGCTAAAATCGGCTAAGATCTCAATCGATAGAAGCGCGGATTTGACTCCATTTTCGCTGCATCAACTCCACACAACTTCAAACAAAAATGCAGCAAAAATATTGAGGAATTAAGCCAACCTAGGGCATACTACTAATAAGTTCGTTTTCCTTTCTAGTTTCCACAGTTTCTTAGCAACCAAACACAAATTTCCATCGCAATCCTCAAGTAAAAAACAAAATCTACTTTTCTATCAAAGGATTTAAGTATATAAAGCCACAAAAAAATCGCTCACCGATGCCAAGTTGAAAGAGAGGGAGTCTTCAAGAAGGATTGTTACTGTTGGAGGCACTGGTATTGTCGCCATTGATGAGAACAGAAGAGAAGTTCGGAGACGGCGACCGCATTGAAGGTTTGCAAACTGAAAGACAATGCGTCGAAGAAGAAGACGGTGCAACTGGGAGTGTTGTTCTCAGCATTTTCTCTTATCTTCTTCACCCCAATCCCAATATGGGTTCTAAACCCCAACTAGAAAAGAAAAGGAAAAAGAAAAAGAA